AGTTTAAGTTCTCTAATTTGTTTTCTATCTCCATTCAATCAGATTGGTTGATGGGAGAGATCCGTCGGGTGAATAACGGAGACCTGGTTTGGGATCTCAGGTATAAGAGACTCTTTTTTCTTAGAGAGTTGCTTGTGTTTGAAAATATTTTCTCTCTCTACTTTAAGATGTTATTCTCTCTCAAGATAGAGATATGTAGATTTGGAAGCATGCAAGAGATGATTTTTTCTCTGTTGTCTTTGTCTATCATGTTTACTTTGATGGTTCTTTGTACGGTTGAGAATTTAACTATTCCTCTTATTTGGAATAGTTTGGTTATACTGAAATGTTGGTCTTCTTCTGACATCTTTTGCACGATAGATTACCTTCTAGATAAAACATATATAAAATGGGGTGATTCTTGATCCCAGAGTGGTCTCGTGTCCTTTTGGCAAAAACTTGATTGAGTCGGTTCTCCATTTCTTTGTCACTTGTGAGTTAGTATTGTCTATGCGGTATAGGATTTTACATTGGTTGTGGTTCTCTCTAGTGACCATAGATTTTTTTTTGAGTTTTTTCTTTCTTTAGGTGATATGACCAAGTATATGAGTGGTTTTGTTGTGATATAACATGTTGTAGTCTCTAGCATTTGGAGAGCTAGTAATGATGTCATCTTTAATGGTGTTACAAAATTTGTGAAAGAGGTGGCGAAAAGTATATTTTTTTGGCCTAGAAATGGTTTCTAGGTATATCAAGGTTGAACTCATGTACGTACTATGATTGACTTCAGAATCATATCATCTATCTGACTCAATAGTGGATTGAATGTTTATCTTAGTTTTGAAGTAGACTCTGATATGTGATTTTGTTGTTCTCTTAGTATATTTTAATTTATTGATGGTGGTTCTAGAGGTATAAACTCTAATCTAAATCATAAGGAGTGAATCTTTACTGCTTGAGCAATTTTTATTGTTTATTTTATTTAATTTGTTATTATGTTGGTTGACGTGTTCTTTTTTATATTCTTATTTGTATCATTAATAGTCCACTAAATAGTTCTTGTATTTTGGAATTTGGAATTGTTTATATTTTAGTAATTTTAACTTTTTTATTAATATATTATTTTTTTATTAAAAAAATAATTTATTTGTGTTTTGAATTTGTTTTTTTTTTTTAAATGAAAAAAAAACTCGTAAACTCATAAACAGTTCACATGAGATTCATTTATTAATGAATTAGATGATTTATAGATGAAATTTCAACCCTAACTGAGATTAATACAAATTCAGAAAGCCAATTTAATTTTTAAAAAATTTCAATTTTACTTTTTCAAGATGAAATGTAAAATCAAGCATAAAAGTATATGCAAAAGTGACCATAAGGTTGAATTGAAAATCACCATACATAATTTGATTTTGTCTTTTCTTCCTTTCTCCATATTATCATTTTGAGTAATAGTACCATGATCAAATATGACTGGTAGAGGAAAAAAGTGCCATTAAATGATTCAAACCTTAAAAAAACAAGCTCCATCTTGCCTAAATTAGCCACTTACTAATAGTAATAATAGTGATAGTCACGTATCAATGGTGTTGAATTTGGTAAAGAAAATTACAATTTAATTTTTTGCAACTGCGATCGAGAGAGTTGAAATTACTTGATATTAAAATTGATTTTTAAATTAGATTAGTCGATTCAAGGAACCGGATCTTACTATGACAGAGACATAACAATAATGCAATAAAGTCAAATTCATCTTGCTATTGATAAATTCTCAACTAAATTCATATATTTAATATTATTTCTATCCTCATCACACTATAAAGTCTTCCTCTCACCTTAACTCAACCCAACACAATCCAAATACTTTGGAACTCAGTTCCATTTGTTCTACTTCCAATTCAACAACCTTTACCAAACTTGTTTTTGTTTTCGAATAACTTATAATAAAATGGCAACTTCTTTGACAATTTTTGGAGCAATTTTTGGAGCCATGTTCCCACACTTATTATGTCATATTAAGGTTTCACTTTTGCTTTTTTTATGATCCAATGTTCATTCAATTTGAATTGCTATGTAGTACCGATATCTCTGAAAAAATGTGTGTCTATGTCTGTGTCAGGGTGTGACTGTGTCTGAGTCGGTGTCAGAAAGTGATATTGATATTTGTGATTAAGTTTAATTCATTCATTTTTTTTAATTATTACCGACATACGTGTTAGTGTCAGGGTCGTGTTTCCGGTGTCCATGCTTCATTCCTTTGTAATATTGTTTGCAGTTGAAATTGAATGGCTCAAGCAATGGTGTTCCTATGACAAGTTCATCATTTTTTGGATCAAGTCTCAAGAAAGTTAGTTCTGTGATTTCAAGCCATAGGAGTTTGTCTGGTAGTTTCAAAGTGTGTGCACAAGTCAAATATGACGACGAAAAACAGACCTCAAAGGACAGATGGGCTGGACTTGCATATGATGTTTCAGATGATCAACAGGATATCACAAGAGGGAAGGGAATGGTGGACAGTGTCTTTCAAGCTCCAATACAATGTTGTCAAATAGCGGCTATAGCAGTCTCCGTAGCACCAGACACCTCTGGAAAAAAAATGTGTGTCTGTGTCGGAAACCGACACCAATACTTGTAATTACGTTTAATTTATTCATTTTTTTTAATTTATTATCAATGTCAACGTATCAGTGTCGGTGTCGTGTTTCCAGTATTTGTACTTCACAGATAGCGCTATATTGCAATTTGAACAAATTGTTATTGTTCCACGATATGCTTTTTCTTTTCTAATGAGACTCGTTCGTTCTGCAATGTTATTTAGTACAAATTGTTATAAAATAGGGACAAAGTAGCGTGGGGGATTTGAACAAACCACTATTTTCTGCAATTCGTGATTTACTACGCGATGTGCCTAACTCGCTGATCTACTTCCTTGTAATTCAGCCCTATAATGATGAGTGCTGGAGAATTAGAAAGTGGAAATGCTGGAGAGCCTGCAAAGTTGATTAGGCAACGGTACCGCGAGGCGGCCGACATTATCAAAAAAGGAAAGATGTGTTGTCTTTTCATCAATGATCTTGATGCGGGAGCTGGTAGACTCGGTGGAACTACTCAATACACAGTCAACAACCAGATGGTAAATGCAACCCTAATGAACATGAAAACCCTACCAATGTTCAACTTCCCGGTATGTACAACCAGGAAGAAAATCCCCGTGTCCCTATTTTCGTTACTGGCAACGACTTCTCTACATTGTATGCTCCTTTAATTCGCGATGGACGCATGGAAAAATTCTACTGGGCTCCTACTCGCGAGGATAGGGTCGGTGTCTGCCAAGGTATTTTCAGGTCAGATGGTGTCCCTAAGGATGGCATTGTCAAGATTGTTGACACATTCCCTGGACAGTCAATTGGTCAGCTATACCTCAACCTAAATTTCAAGTCAAAATTTCTAGTTATTCAGGGTTTGTTCGGATTAACTTATTTGATGCGTGTTTTTGTAGACTTTTTTGGTGCCTTGAGGGCTAGAGTGTATGATAATGAAGTGAGGAAATGGATTTCTGGTATTGGAGTAGAGCATATCGGGAAAAGGCGTGTGAACTCAAAGGAGGGACCTCCAACTTTTGAGCAACCAAAGATAACTATTGAGAAGCTACTAGAGTATGGAAATATGTTGGTTAAAGAACAAGAGAATGTGAAGAGGGTTCAGTTAGCTGACAAATACCTCGGCGAGGCAGCTCTTGGAGACGCGAATAAAGATGCTATCAAGACCGGAAACTTCTATGGTTAGACCTGTCGGAACTGTGTTTTGAATTAAACATGAGTAAATGAATGTTATGATCTTATTGTTTGGATGCAGGTCAAGGAGCTCAGCATGTTGCTTTTCCTGTACAAGAAGGTTGTGCCGATCCTTATGCAGAAAACTATGATCCAACAGCTAGAAGTGACAATGGAAGCTGCTCATACAATTTGTAATTGATTCTTGAGTGAGTGCATATAAATATGGAGATTCGTAAAAGCTGTCTAAAAAACATGTTACCGTGTTTCTTAGATCATTCACCATATTGTGTAAGGTGCATTAATCTCAACACTTTAGGCTGTATATTGTGTTCACCATATTGTGTAAGGTGCATTAATCTCAACACTTTAGGCTGTATATTGTGTTATTTCTGGTGCGTCATGTGGTTGAGTTTTGTGAGTGACAGTTTATAGATAGTGTTGTTGGCAATATCCTTTCCTCCTTTGATTTTGCAAAATCATTTGTCAAATTGGTTTTTATGAAGAACTAGCTGATATAGAATTTTTTTTATCAGTGAAAATCAAACTTGGTCCCTGAGTTTACAACACTCTTACACTGCATTTTTTCAGACTGCTTGAAACGAATCAAGAAAGATGTAGGTCATAAAGGTTATGCAGTTATAAACACCAATAATAAACTTTTTTAATTATAAAAAATTGAATATAACTCCATGTATCAGTATTGTGTAGATGCCCGACACTGACAACTTGACGGTGACCACATGGTGTCTAATACTTTTGCAACTACAGGGTTCAAAACTGAGAAACTAATTTTACCATGAGTTGATTATAATTTGCGCAGCATATACACTTTATATTGAAGTAAAAACAAGATTGCTGATGTAGTAGAAGAAGCTAATTAGGAGCATGAAATAGGATGACACTTGCATTCCTATCAAGATGATCAAGAAAGCTAAAAAAGGTTTTATGGACAAAGATACTTGGGCAAGGTAGATTTGGTCAAGTTTGCAAAGGAATGTTACCAAATTCATGCTATATTTAAACATCCTGATTAAACAAAACCCATGACATTTTATCAGAAAGCGCATCCAGATTCTAAAATATATTAGTATACAAGGTTAAACTACAGAAATAAAATTTGGATAAGATAGACCCACACAAGTTAATAACTCAATATTTGGTTTTCTCCCCTGTCTCTTTAATGCAATCATAAAACTAGACTGGAAGATTCTGCAAAATTAATGGACGATTTTACAATCCTGTCTACAGCTTCAAAGCAGCCTTTGCCATGGCCAAGGCACCTTCAAAAGTTTGGTTTCCGCCAATAAACCCACTCATATGAACAAAAACACAACCAGGAATGTCAGCTTCCTTTGACAGGATGTCATCTCTTAAACCTCGCCACTGCAAGGGTAGAGCTTTTCGGCTCTCAAATCTATCAGGAGATACTGAAACTGCTTGCACACGCCACTGTTTGCTTCTCTCATCCTGTAAAGGGCAATGAGAAAGGTAAATGTGAAGAAATCAGCTGAGTTTACAATTTACACATTCTTAAGTAACTATGATAAACGAGTAAGAAATAAGAGATACGACATTTAAAAAAAAATCAAGGTACAGGTATGTGAATAAGAAATAAGAGTTTTCTATAAAATAAACGAGTAAATAACTAAATTGTTACGTTCATAACAAAACACCATTATAAAAAATTGAAAAAAAAATAATGTTAAGATACAATAACAAAAAAATTAAAATACATAAATATACTATATTGATATTTGAGAAAACCACAAATTTCATTCAAAACTGAATACTGAGAAAAAAATGAAGTACCATGAGTTCGGTACAAGTACTCAGTACCGGTACTTGGCCATTTTAGAAGTACCCATGCTTCAGAGTTAAGTAACAAACCAGAGTTAAGTAACAAACCAGACAAACCAGGTTAGCCCCTCAGAAGAAAAACGACACAACTCTTATTGTGAGGGACCAAAAAGTTGTGTTTTTTTCTTAAGGACAAACCCAGATTCTGTGGCTTTTGTGAAGGATCAGAGTGAAATTTCACCTGTTACATAATTATTAACTTATATTTTTCCTTATTTTAAACATAACTATCACCCCTCAATAACAAGAACAAGCATTACCATGATAATGGATTATTTTGTATCCTTTTAGATAAATTGTTGGCTTGTAGTCGAGTTCTAATCCTGGCTTGTAGTCGTGTTCTAATCCTTTCTTTTCCCCTGTTTCTTATCCTTCAATTTATTTTCCCTGGTTTTCCGTCATTCAATTTCCTTGTTTCCTTTCCCCATGTTTTCTCTCATTGCCTTACTTCTTTTTCTTTTTTAATCTGCTTAATTCTAACACTTGTTTTGTTTCTTGTTTTTTGTTAATCGCACTCCTCTTTTTTACTGTTCTTTATTTTCATCTGTATTTGTATATTTTACATGAATATATGTATGATATTATTCGTGTAATTTGTAAAAAAAATATATCACATAGTGGCCATCCTGCTATCCCATTTTGGGGTCGACCGCTCCGCGCCGCTATCCAGAATTGACTACTCGGCACAACTAAAGGATAGAGTGGAACTTAAAGAAAATGGAAAAAAAAAAAAAAAAAGGCAACAACAATGTACCTCGTATAGAACATATTTGATTGGAGGGTCAATTTTCATTTCCTTCTCAAGCTCGAATAAATGAAGCTTCCACTGCAATGAATAAAAACAAGAAATATTTAAGTTAACAGTCTAAATAATTGTTCAAGCTTCAAGGATTCAAGAGAAAAGAACTAGTATATTTTTCAACATAATTAAGTGTTCAAAATGTTACTCAAAATACATATTCAAGCTTCAAATTATGATTTCGGAACGTATCACAGTTACTAGACATAATTCAAAATTTCAAATAAGTAAAGTTCAAAAACATCATAAAAAATGTTAGAAGAGGGAACAAGAATAATCAACTCACAGGACAGAAATTTTTCAAAACTAAAATTTCTCCAGAAGGATCAACAGTTTGTCTAGCCGCAACAGTCTCCATTACAATTGACCTTGCTGGTAACCATGAGTTTACGTGAAATCGAACACTCTGCAAGGGAAGAGAGGGACTTGTTCAGAAAACAATGAAAATGTAAAACATGCAAAAACAAATTTAACAAAATCCCTTGCTACTCTTAGGAATCAAAGAGAAAGAACAGTGAATACTCACATCCAGGAACTCGCTGCCAGCAAGAGCCATGGCACGATGAAAGGCCTCGTTTTCTTTCTCGGATGACTGGTCAGCATCTGTCCAATCCAAATTAAACTTTCCTACTCTTGAGGATAAATGAGTATTATTCACATATTTTGGAGGCTGGTCTGTGTCGTACTGGTTGATTCCATTGTCTATGGCATCAATTGCCTGAAATAATTAACAAGAATATTAGTATTAAAACAAAGTAAAATGAATCATTGGGGAGAAAATAATTTCACAAAGCAAGGTCCTACAATACAAATAAAGTTTAAAGGTAGAATAGACTACGGTTTAAAATTTACTACCTCCATGAAGCTCCTGTAAACAGCCAAATAGATGTAATTCACATCTTGGTGCTCTTCATCTACCTTAAGCTCATTTGCTATAATCTCCTTTCCAAAATGCTACAATAGGAAAAAGAGGGCATAGTATAATGATTAAGATAGAAACAATTCAAAACCAAAATTGAGTGAGTAGCAATTTTGCTCCCCTCTTTTCCCATCCCTTCAAAGTACTAAACCAAATAATGTAGATTAAAATAAACCCTCCACTACATCCATTTTGCTCCAACCAAACAACTTAAAAAATAAATAGTTTAGATGACAAATTTACCTTATAAACAAGACCAGCACTGCTCAACTTAGTGGAGAAACCATGCCCAAAAACCTCCTCAAATCCTTTCTGGTGATGATCATACCGATCTCGGGCAGGCTCATACACACCTCCAACATCAAGAACAGCATCCAGACCCTCCAACACCTACAGATTTACAAATTAGCTTAAAGCCTTGAGCAACAAAATATCAAGCAGATGTCAAAAAACTACACATCGTTCCACTCCATTCAATATCTAAACATATGCAACAACAAAAATTAAAAAACATGCCTCTCCAACTAAATTTCAAATGCCCCTCCCAACCATATACCATCTAAAGAAACTCCACCACAATCAAAAAGCATCATTCTTGTCTATATTTTCTCAGCAACCCAACCAACAAATGCAAAATCATGAAACTTAACAACATTTTCCCACAATTTATCAACAAAATACCTCCCAAACACGGAAATATCTTACCAGATCCCTTATAAGTCATGAAAATAAATAAGGAAAAATATCATTTTCTTAGCCACCTAGCAAAAACAAGAGTATTGTAATTGTACATCAATCAAACTAAACCCTAAACCCTAAAACCCTAAAGTACATCCTATTTTCTCATCAACCAAACTTCAATAAAATCACACCTCCATACTAACCAAACAAAAAATAGCATACTTTCTCAGCACAACATCCAAAGAAAACACATTTTTTCAATCACTAACTCCAACTTAACAGTAAAAGACTTCCCAAAAAAACCATTTCTCACTTTGTTCTCTCATGAAAAAACCAGAAAAAACAAACCACATTTTCTCATCAACCTAACAAAAAATTTAAAATTAAAATTAAAATACACTTTCAATCTAACAATCTAACAAACAGAGGAATCATTTTTTCCCAATAACAAACAACAAAATATATAAAAATAAATAAAAAATAAACAAAATTTCTCAAACCAAACTAAGAAAAAGAAGAGACAAAAGGAATCACCTGAGGGTCACGAGTGCGAACGATTTCAGCGTTGAAGAACTTGCGAGTGAGACGAATCATGAAGCAACCAAGAGCTTCATCGCAATGGAAGCTTCCATTGTGGGTACCAACGCGCTTGAGGGACGCGTGAGGAGTAGAGGAAGGAGAAGAAGAAGTAGAAACCCTAGCGGTTTTGGGATTAGACATTAGAAGAAGCGGAAGAGTGAAGTGCGAATGGTTGTGCTTGTGGAAATGGGAATTGAAATTGGTGAATAATAATGTCTTTGTTGTTGATGAAACCGCCCACATGACTTTTCGATTTAAATTCACATTCGTTACAAAAACCCCTCCTCTACTTTTTCACAAATATTTCTTAGGGTTTAAGCAAATATTATTCCCATCATTTTAATTATTTTTTTTAAATCGACAAATTTATCATCATGAATTAGTTTTTTTTTAACATACAATTCATTCTCTTGAGAGTGAAGAATCAAGATGATGAAATTGTGATTAGGATAACTATTAGAATATTATTAATAATTCATATTTATTTAGTTGTACTATTTTCTTGGCCCCTAAGTTTGTTAGAGGGTATTTTAGTATTTATCTTATTCTAGTAACCCTAGTTTTAGCTTATAAATAGGGTGACAATCATTGTAACAAATATCATGTTTTGTAGCCGTCATTCTCTTATTAGTAATATTTCCTATTTCATCATTTATTCTATCTTTGCACCAACAATTGGTATCTAGAGCTCCGGTTCAGATTCATTGGGAAACACGGGAAACACGAGTGAACGTGAGGTCTTGTGTGTTTGATTTTGTTTCTCAGATTCTTGTTGAATCTTGAACAAAATCTGATCAGAATTTTTTAATTCTGTGGGTTGGGAAACACTGTGTGAGAAAACTCTGAGTGTATTGTGCAAAGTAGAAGATGAACGGAAACGGCAACATGAACACCAAACTTCCAGTATTTGATGGTAAAAACTGGAATCGTTGGATGATCCAGATGCGTGTGCTGTTTGGTGCTCAAGATGTTCTGGATCTTGTCACTGATGGTTATGTTCCAGTAGCAGCAGATGCAACTGATGAACAGAAAAACGCGCAGAAGGAAGTAAGGAAGAAGGATCAGAAAGCATTGTTCTTCATTCATCAATGTGTGGATGTAAACGTGTTTGAGAAGATTGCAGACTCTACAACAGCAAAGGCTGCATGGGACACTCTGGTGAGATGTTATGGTGGTGACGCATCAGTGAAGAAGGTGAAGCTTCAGTCCTTGAGAAAGCAATATGAGAATCTCAACATGAAGAATAATGAGAAAGTTTCTGAATACATCTCCAGAGTGATTCTGATCACTAATGAGATGAAGGCATGTGGAGAAACTCTTTCTGAAGAAACAATCATGGAGAAAGTGTTGAGATCCCTTACTCCTCAATTTGATTACATTGTGGTAGCAATAGAACATTCCAAAGATCTGAGCACAATGAGAATTGAAGAGCTGCAGAGCAGTCTAGAAGCGCAAGAGTTGCGTCTGACTGAGAGAAACTCTGAAAAGGAAGTAGAACAGCAGGCTCTGAAAGCAACTTCTGATAGGAGGTATCAGAAGCAGTCAGAAGTCAAGAGAAGATCTGATGGTGGTCAGAAGTCAGAAAGCTCAACCTCTGATAGACAAAAGAATGCTCAGAGGGGAAAAGAGAAGTATGACAAAAGAAAAATACAATGTTACTGTTGTAAGAAGTTTGGTCACTTTGCTAGAGATTGTTGGTCAAACAAGGAGAAGAAATCAGAAGAAGCAAATATAGCCAGAAGTTCTGATGACGAATCTGTGCTATTGATGGCCTCTGAATCTGATGATCTGACAGACTGGTGGTATATGGACACTGGCTGTTCAAATCATCTTACTGGAAACAAGAAATGGCTGGTTGACTTTGACTCTGAAAAGAGAACAAAGATCAGATGTGCTGATGACAAATATCTTAATGCAGAAGGTATGGGAAATGTCAGAGTGACTCTGAACAATGGGAAAATAGCATTGATTCAGAATGTGTGGTATGTACCTGGCATCAGAAGCAATCTGATGAGTGTGGGACAATTAATTGAGAAAGGTTTCTCAGTTACCATGAAGGACAATCTTCTGAAGCTGTATGACTGTAATCAGAAGTTGATTATGGAGTCAGAACAGGGAAGGAATAGAACATTCAAGGTGAATGTCAGAACTGCAGACTCAGAATGTCTTAGTGCAACAAGTACTGAGAAGGAGAGTGAGCTGTGGCACAGAAGATTTGGTCATTTGAATTTCAGAAGCTTACAACATCTGAATTCAAAGAAATTGGTACATGGAATTCCTGCAATTAAGAAGCCTGAAAAGTCATGCAAAGTTTGCATGGAAGGAAAACAACCAAGATTGCCATTTGCATCAGAAGTTGCTCCAAGAGCAAAACATGCCTTGGGAGTTGTACATTCTGATGTGTGTGGTCCATTTCCAGTAGCATCAATTGGAGGGAATAAATACTTTGTGTTGTTTGTTGATGAATTCACAAGAATGACATGGGTATCCCTTATTAAGTTCAAACACGAGGTGTTTGATGAATTCAAGAAGTTCAGAATGAAGGCTGAGAATCAGAGTGGTCAGAAGTTGAAGATTCTTAGAACTGATGGTGGAGGTGAGTATAACTCCAAAGAGTTCCAGAAGTTCTGTGAGGAGAATGGAATTGAGCATGAGGTTACTGCTCCTTATACCCCTCAACACAATGGTCTTGCTGAAAGAAGAAACCGTACTTTGCTTGATATGGTGAGAAGCATGCTAAAGGAGAAGAAGCTTCCTCAGAAGCTCTGGGGAGAAGCTGTTGCCACTGCAACGTATGTACTCAACAGATGTCCTACGAAGAAGTTGAAGGAAATAGTTCCTATGCAGAAGTGGACTGGAGACAAGCAAAGTGTTAGTCATCTGAAGGTATTTGGTTCTGTTTGCTATAAACATGTTCCAGAAGCCAGAAGACAGAAGCTGGATGATAGAAGCAAAGTGATGATTCTGATAGGGTACCACAGTACAGGTGCATACAAGCTCTATTGTCCAGAAACCAATAAAATTGAATTCAGCAGAGATGTGATTGTGAAGGAATCAGAAGTTTGGAATTGGGATAAGTCTCAATCTGATTCTGATGTTAGAACCTCTGAAGAAAGGCCAGAGTTAAGAATTCCTGAAGTTGAAGTAAACCCTGATATTGACTCTGACTCTGATACTGATTCAAACTCTGAAGAAGACTCAGAAGATGAAGGTGACTCTGATGACCCAGACTCTGATGACCCAGACTCTGATGATTCAGACTCTGATGGCAATCCAGATCTTGGTGGCAATTCAGACTCTGGAAATATGCCAGACTCTGAAGATGGTCAAAGCTCTGGAGGTCAATCATCTGAAGCTAGAAACTCTGAAGCTCAAGACTCTGAACAAGTTCAGAGACCACAAAGAATCAGAAGCGTTCCCAGAAGATTTGCAGAATTTGACATGCTGCAAGACACTGAAGTAGACTCTGAAGGAGAAGTTATTCAGTGTGCCATGTTAGTAGACTCTGAACCTATAAGTACAGAGGAGGCTCTTAAGCAGAAGCTCTGGCTGAAGGCCATGAAAGAAGAACTTGATGCTATAGAGAGAAACAAGACTTGGAAGCTGACAGAACTTCTAAAAGACAAGAAAGCCATCAGCGTCAGATGGGTTTTCAAGCAGAAGTTAAAGCCAGATGGTTCAATTGGCAAACATAAAGCAAGGTTGGTAGCCAGAGGATTTCTACAGAAACCTGGGCTGGATTATTCTGAAGTGTTTGCACCTGTAGCAAGACATGAAACAATCAGAATGGTGATTGCAATAGCTGCTAACAGGAATTGGCCTCTGATGCATTTAGATGTAAAATCTGCATTCTGAATGGTCCATTAGAAGAAGAAGTTTACGTGTCACAACCTCCTGGATTTGAGGAAAAGAATCAGGAAGGGATGGTGTACAGATTATACAAAGCTCTATATGGATTGAAACAAGCGCCCAGAGCTTGGAATCAGAAGATTGATTCATTTTTCAAGAAACAAGGCTTTCAGAAATGTGAGATGGAGTACGGTGTCTATGTTCAGCATACTTCTGAAGGCAATATGACTCTGGTATGTTTATATGTTGATGATATACTATTGACTGGAAGTTCTGAACAGGAGATAGCCAAGTTCAAGAAGGTTCTAATGAATGAATTTGAAATGACTGATCTAGGCAAAATGACATACTTTCTAGGGATGGAGTTCAGATATTCTGAGAAAGGTATCATTTTGCATCAGCTCAAGTATGAATTAGAACTTCTGAAGAGATTTGATCTGAAGAATTGTAAGATGGCTGTCACACCTTCTGATACAAATCAGAAACTGGAGTCAGACTCTGAAGGAAAGGATGTGGATGCTACAACCTTCAAACAGTTGGTTGGTTCTCTGAGGTATCTGTGCAATACCAGACCTGATATTTGCTACTCAGTTGGGATGGTTAGTAGGTTCATGAGTAAACCTAAGTGGTCCCATTACCAAGCTGCTGTCAGGATTCTGAGGTATATCAAAGGAACTCTGAAGTATGGAGTGTTATTTCCCTCTGGAGGAAATAATGAGTCAGAACTTCTGAGTTATTCAGACTCTGATTGGTGTGGAGACAGAGTTGACAGAAGAAGTACATCTGGGTACTTGTTCAAATTTCTGGGAGGTCCCATTTCTTGGTGTTCCAAGAAGCAACCTGTTGTGGCGTTGTCAACCTGTGAAGCTGAATACATTGCAGGTGCTGTTACTGCATGCCAAGCTGTGTGGATTCTGAATCTGTTGCAGGATCTGAAGATTAAAGTAGACAAACCTCTGAAGTTGATGATTGACAATAAGTCTGCAATCAATCTTGCTAGAAACCCAGTGTTGCATGGGAGAAGCAAGCATATTGAGACCAAGTATCATTTTCTGAGACATCAAGTTCAGAGTGGAGTGTTAGAAGTTGTACACTGCAGCACTCAGAAGCAGTTGGCAGATGTTCTGACGAAAGCTATCAAAACTGATCAATTTCTCAGATTAAGGGATGGAATTGGTGTCACAAGTTTTGATGGAATATGAATTAAGGGATGGTATTAGAATATTATTAATAATTCATATTTATTTAGTTGTACTATTTTCTTGGCCCCTAAGTTTGTTAGAGGGTATTTTAGTATTTATCTTATTCTAGTAACCCTAGTTTTAGCTTATAAATAGGGTGACAATCATTGTAACAAATATCATGTTTTGTAGCCGTCATTCTCTTATTAGTAA